CAATTTTAGCTTCTCATCACCACCAGTCCCCTACTACCTTGGATTTTTACCTGTGTGGTTACCAGACATATGCACCTTCAAATTGAAAGCAGACATTAGAAAGAGCCTGCACTATGTGCAAATCCCTGCCTGCCAAGAGTACAAAACCAAGCCAGATTTGAGTCCAGTTTCAAAAGTATAGGTTTGGATAACATATTTGTGAATGTAGAGGCACTTTAACTCATGTAGCCATGTAATTTGTACCAATGCATCACTTAAATTGTCAGACCTACTTTCCTCCCATGGACTGTTATGTTTCGTTTTTCCTTACAGCTAGGTTTGTATAAAGCTCTACTTGTGCAAGTTAGAGTCTGATCATGACACTGAGCTGAAATGCACATAAATATATGAAATCAGAAGGCATAAGTTGAAAAAGGCTAATTTCTTACCCCAAATCAAATGAAAGCAAATATGTGGGAAAAACTGTGATTGATCCAACTTGAAGTGAAGATTCTGTCCCCTCTGGAACATTATTCCAGCAGAACACATTTTTAAAACAGAATAAATTGTGAGGAAAAATTGTGTTATAACTGGGTATCATTTTCCAGAAGCACACCTTGATAAGGAAAACTTAAACGGGTTCATGTTAATAGATTCTTGATCTGTATTTTCATACAGCTTGAGTCAATGTAAAGCATGCATATTTGCATCCTTCAGTTGCTTTCACTTGCACGGTGTCCAGCTGTTTTTCTACAGTGGATATTTATTTTTTTTTGTTCCCCCCTTTCCTGCCTGGTAAAGCTGGAAAATTCCACAAGTGATAACTCTGACAGCTTGCTCCCTCTCCTGTCGCTCCTTGTTTCAGAAAACAAGAGGGAGGGAACAGGGTCTGGAAGGCTGAAAAGTCACAGATTTAAGTAAATTCTGCAAGTCTTACCTCAGATCAGGATAAAGCCTGGGTGTTATCCTTAAAAGAGCAGAGCAGAGTCCTTCTGAAACCCAACTTCTTCATGCTCTTAGTGGCAGTGAGTCCCTCCTCAGCCTATGATTACCAAGTTGCATATTCTGGGAGCTATCTGACAGCCTGTGATAGGATATTCTGCCTCTAGTCACACAAGGGCTGCGGGAACAAAGAGCGGTGGAGCTTCTGGCCCTTGTGGGAAATGAACTGACACTGCTCCATCACTATTTAAAGAGTAGATGCCTTCAGGATAAATCCTCTTACTGTGTTTTCCTGTTTATGTCAGAACTTAAACCTTTTATCCTTTTCCTAAGAGAAGAAATAAAAAAGTAATCGGCACTAGGCTGCACTGTAACTCAGGAGGGTCCCTGTGGGGTGGCTCAGAAAAAGACAGAGCCAATTTATGTGTTTTCTGCTAAAGGGATATGAGACACTATCATTAGCATAGAACAAAAAAATCATAAATGACCAGATGCAAATTAATGAGGAGCTCTCTCTCCATAGAGATGGCTGCTCCACCCAGAGGAGAAGCATAGAGCCTAATGCCAGCGAGGAAAGAGAAGAGAGCCAGAGTACAGCTGTTATGAAATCAAATATTTATGGGGAAGCCTTTCTTGTTTTTCCTACAGTGGGATGATCAGTGGGAGGCCTAGACAAATGCTGAAAAAGGCATGCACCAGGTTTCATATGAACAGTGGCTCAGAATTGGGTTTTGGCCACAAGATAAATAAAGTCTTGAAATTTGGGGAGGATTTTGAGCTGCAGCTAGGCGATGAGTATGTGCAATATATTCCCTACCACAGTCTGTTAGTGTCATCAAATGAGCCTAAGAAATAACTCTTAAGTATGGAAAAGATATGAGATGGTCAAACTTTATTCCCCCCACAAACTTTTGCTTAGCCATTGAAACGCTTAAACTGATCTCCAATTAACAGCATTCCTGTCATCATTCCTCTAGCTTGAAATACATGAGGAAAAACTGCCTTTCCGGCCATAAGCTTTTTGATATACTTCGCTTCCTTCAAAGACATGGCTAAATCCCTTCAGCAGAATAAAGAGAAAAGAAAGCCTGTAATTTAATCAGAAAAAGAAAAAAACCCAACTAACCAAAACTGAAACAAGGAAAAGAGAAGGGAAAGGACTTCCTGAATCAGACAAAGATTTCCTAAGGGGACAGAAAAGAGCAAAACCAGAAGTGGTTTGGCTTTACAGTTCATCTGGAATTTAAATTTGCTTTATGTTTCAAACTGGACTTACTGTCACCTTTCTATTTCTTCTGGGAAACTTTTCAGGTGACGTAAATCCTTGAAAATGTTGAAATCTGCTGGATATTTACCACTGTTTGTGGGTCTGTTCAGAGACTGGTAGGTCACCCTTTAAAAGGTGAACTGCAGGGAAGAGTGTGGCTCAGGAATTTAGCAGTGGACTGAAGGGCTGCTCATTCTAAAAATCTGGCTGATGGTGGTGCTGACCAGAAACTGTTGGGCAGCTACTGCTGCTTTGCCTGAAATGATATAGTGATGATAGTCCATAATATCTAAATACTTCTACAGTGATGCTTCCTGCAGTTATTCAGAGGCAACCTCTAGGCTGAATAGTCATGAGACTACCCTTGCTACTTCCTTCAAGGATGTCCTCTCCCTCCTTTTATTTAAGCAATATGCTGCTGCCACCATTACTCTCCTTGAGTGGCTGTGGTATGTAGGAATTAAAGTAATTTTTCACCTAATCCTAGGAATTGTCTGAACAGTCAGATAAATATACTTTTAGCATCACCTTTTCCCAGAATTGCTACTTCAAACAGTCTTCGGTAACAGTGACTTAGGTTTTCCTGGGAATTAAGGTGAGTATTTGTCACATTTGGGAAATGTGAAGGTAGGTGCCCATTTGCAACCCAAGTCCCTTGCAGTTTGCTGCCTGTAAGGTATAGAAAAACACTGTCAGGGAGGGAGGGAAGGAAACAGAGGTCAGCTCACTTGCAGCAATTCACAATAAGCGTATATTCCCTCTAGCTGCTGTCAGCAATTAAAACACTCCCTGTGTTTCAGTAAGCACTGAATCCTTTTGTCTAAGATGAGATGCTGAACTGGAATGTGTGAGTTACGACCCTGATTACCAGGAGCTCCTTATTATACCTCCAAAGAGCAATTCTGCTCACTTATGGATGAGGCGTCTCTCTTGCTGTCCATACCAGGATAAGACACTGAGGGACTCACCAAAGAATTGCTAAATGTTGGAAGTGGATAAGTGCTCACTGGGCACCAGGTACACTTAAAGGAACTGTGACCTTCTGTTTGCAGTGTGCTTGCACTTAACATATTTTACCTCCAAAATAATCTTTTCCCCCTACATTTTAAACAAACCTTTCAGTTAAAAGTCTTGCCATAGAATATGCAAGTGCATTTAAACATTGTTTTTGCCCTCACCGGCATAACTGTGAGCCCTAATCACAGCTGTCCTAGGAAAAATAAACAGCGGTGAACTCGTATACACAGGTGTCCTATAGAAGCCAGCAAAGATTTGCATGACACACAGCTCTGCCTGCCCTGGCAGTTCTGAGAGAACTGAGTGTTCTGTTTCATGTTTTGTATGAAAGTAGCTCTGAATTCCACATATGGCACATAATGATGAAATATTTCAGCAGATATACCGAATATCATACAACTGATAGATACTGACATGTTTTCATGCTATGCTTTTTTTAAAGTTAAATGCTGAGACATAAAATAGTCCTGCTGTTGACTCCATTTTATGACTGCAGAAATGCATAGATTCCCTACAATAAGACAAATGTTTAAGGTTTTTGCAGCATCTGGATGTAAGAACTGGTCTTAAATAATTAGCTGTGTAAGTTACTGATTTTTCAGGGCTTTGGCCAAACAAGTATTTGAACAAAATCTTCATTTAATCTGAAACAAAGCCATTTTCTTCTCCTATAGAAATGCAGAACAATAAACAGTTTGATGTCAGAGATTTGGTTTACTTTTCTGTTGAAAGTTAAATCCACATAAATTAGAAACAAAACAGTTCATTTAGAACATGTTGCAAAGTTTCAGCTTTTTCTGATTTTTTTGCCTATTTTTTTTTCTTGGATCAAAAAATTGCTGTGTCAATTTTTCTGATGAACCCAAACTTTTATGTTTTTTCCCTGAAAAAGAGACGTCCTTTTTCTTGTTGTTGTTGTTGGTTTTTTCTGTTTTGCTCCCACTTTTAAATACAGTCGCCTGTTTTAATAGGTCACTGCTGCTGGGGAATAGCTTTAAGGACTTGTCCAACTGATGTCACATGGCAAGCATGAAAAATAAAACTACAAGACAGGAACTGGAAGAATTATCGTTGGATTAATTATTCCACAGAAATTAAACTGGCATGATCATAATCATGTGGTGGTTTCTCCTGAAACATAACTGCTATTTCCAGGGACTCTATATATTGATTTAGTCCATCTGTTAGTGAACAAAACTTGGATGTTCTTCTCCAAGCTGGATTTTACATTAACACTGGGATACCTATAGCACACAATCACCAAATTTGGCGTAGTTTACATGGTAGAAAAATACAATACCCTAAAACTTAATAAGTGATGTATTTGAGAACAACTATGTAGATAGGAAGAAAATAGTTGTTTGTGGCTAAGCAGTACAGACTTGACATCAGCTCCTCCAATGCCATGAAAGATTAAACCTTCTCTTAGAAGATCCCTGAAGATCTGTTTCTTCTGTCTGGGTTTTGGCAGGGGATCTGTGAAATTTCCTACCTACATCCATGATTGATTAAGATTTAATTGTGGTCTCAGCTCTGCCTAGGAGACCATTAATTTACAGAATTGGGATTTTTCAAAAGCAGCTACTTAACTTCAAGACCTTTTAGACATAAAACCAGTCAGGCAGAGACGAGGGTTTACAGAGCATGACAAAAGAAGGATTGCAAAATGTGCAGTGCCGACACAGGAGAACTGTGGAATGGACAACCCCTCCTCACAGTGCCTGTAGGAAGGGGTTTGTTTTGCAACGCCCCTGTGCCTTGCAGGAGGCCTGCGGCCCGCTGCTGAGCTGGGTTTCACAAATACGCTGAGGCGGCATTCTTTATCTGCAGTAACGCTCAGTGTCGGCTGCGAAGGTCACCTTGACAAATGAACTTCCCTGGTGGAAAACAACCTCCTCCACTGGTAAATTAAGCAGGAAGGCACTGAGCTTGTTTTCCAGTTCCCGTTTGCAGCAATAACTGCAAACCAGGGCTATATGTACACTGGAAACAGTACGTGGAGCTGTCTGACTGGGGAGCCAATCTTTGTGCTGAATCCACAAACACAGAGGTTTTTATCAGGTGGTTCTTTGATCTTTGAAGAAACACTATTTCTCACCTTAATTTTCAGTCATCTCATGACTTTTGGCAATAATCTCTTAATAGGTACCTCAAACAAAAGCCTGTGTTCTTGCACTAAACTATATCATAGAGAAACTATGAGAAATTAGTTATCCTAACCCCAAGGGTGTAAAGTACAGTTCCATGGGGAAGGCCCTTACTGTCCCTTAGAGCAGCCATTTCTTTCAAAGCTAAACCATGAAGGCAAAGATGAAAAAGAAAACAGGCTGGTGTAAGAGTCACTGAGTGAGGAGGACATGAATAACAAACCCCGTCAGTCATCTGGCAAGAAGATGAAGAAAATAATTACTTACTAGTATCTCTGAATTTCAATGCATTTTCACTTGGAAAGAAGAACCTGAGCTGATAGCCTGTAACATTATGATTTCCTACATTTGTCAGCTCCAATTTCTGGCCTTTGCTCCTCTGTGGCAGCATCCTGACCACTCTCACACCCTGAATCTGGTGTGGCCCTGAAGAGCTTCAATCACCCTTCAAGAGCAGTGAATTTCTGACCCTTAGAAGTAATCTTTTTCGTGATTCTTCTCCATTCTGCTTTTTGTCAGCCCAAACCACCTTTCCAAACTGGTCTTTCCACTGCTTCTTCTCCCTGATGCTGTTCCATGTCTTTGACACACAGGGAAATGTTAGGGGTAGGGTTTCTGCAGTTTAAAATGATTGCTTGTCTCTCTTATCCAAAACAAGAATATTCATAACCTATGATGTGCGCTGAGGGTTCAAAGTTTATTATAAAGATATAGAAAACCCAGGATGCATGACATCAAGGGCTGAAGGATTACTGCAGCTTGAGCAAAAATAGAGGAACTTTGTCTAAACCCAAACAAAGCCAAGCAGTGGGTAAAATCCCTGGCTTACTGATTGCCAAGTGAAAGACATTCATTCCCCCTCCTCCCTTAGATGTTAACCAAGCACTGCTAAACCAGCTACAGCTAAACCACTGCAGTGTATCAGAGATATTTTTATATCAACAGATGTTCTTCACTAACATGACTTTAAAAGTAACTGTAACTGCCAAACTCATATTTGGCTAGTAACCTTTCTTTTATGAACTAGGATGATATTTATGCTGAGTTTCTAATGTCTATCGATCAGTTCACTTCTCCTTAAAGTAGAGGATTTAATTTGAACAAAATATCTTACTAGCTTCACCTATTGGGTAATGTTAATTTAATCAGCAATATTACTTGAGGGGGAATGTAAATCATGGAATGCATTCCAGTAAAAGACTTAAAAAAAATCCCTAACTAAAAAGGCATTACATCTGAAAGTTCTGCTGGACACAAATAGACAAAGGAAAAAAGTTTTCACTTTCTTTAATAATTATGGCTCTGCATATGCTCATTCAATTACAAATGTCGAATCTTCAAAGTTCATTCCTTTAAACATAAACATATGTAAGCCAAAAACATATCGGATTACCGTGTATAACATAAATATTAGGTTAGTCTAAAAATTTTATTAATTATTGGGCATGAAAGCAGAACTGGGTTTGGCAGTCAGGCAGAATTTGGGATGCTTGTCTTGTACAGTGCAGCAGAAAAGAGTGTAGGAGAAAAGAAAATTTTATTAACAAGTTTAAAAGAAGGAATCCCTTTTAACCACTCCACCATGAACCGTCACAGACATTTCAACCTAAAAAATAAAACATGAGAAATCTGAAAATACTAGCATGAGGTAAAGAAGAAAAGAAAGAAGAGCATCAACCCCACTCAAAAGTAAATGCAATACTACTGTACCATCACCACAAATGGCATTAAGAGACTGACAGTGGCTGAGACCACAGATATCCCTCCCCTGGCTTCAGTCCAGAGACCTAAAGCCTAGCATGTTCACCCCTTGGCACACCCAGGATGGCCAAAATCATGCCTGTGCCACCTGAGGAACCAAATTTATCACTAGCACTGCTGGAAGTGGCCTTTTGCCCTTATATGTGCAGGTCTGAATGGATGCAGCAGTTTCAAGGTAGTGGAGACTCAGGCCCCGGAGGCACTTTTACCTGACTGTTAAACGGGCATACTCCTTTTCAAGTGCAAACACCTTCACGAGCCTGAATGTGGTTCCTTCTTGATTTCAAGATCAAGGCTTTTATCAAGATCTAGAAATCTCTAGCTTCAACAGCACTGTCCTAGCAAGATCTACCTAGACCTATGGTTTTAATGAATGACAACATACAGAAAATCACTTCTTCAGAGCCACCCATCACCTGCCATTTCCAGCTTTTCTTTCTCAGTGCCTCTCACACTTGCACAGATCCAGTTGGAAAGACTGAGGACACCAGCCATGTGACAATGTCACAGGTTTCATGCACTCCTGCGAGACGATTATCTGACAGTTATTTCCTCTTGCAACACTCTCTCTTGCACTGAAGTGCTTCAGCTCTCTTGCTGTTCCTGTAACAACTGGGGTACTGACCCCAGTGCCAGTGTTTTCACCAGCAAGGCATTTTTGGCATTGGCAAGACAAGAAAAATGCTGATTACAACTAATAGAAAGTGCTGGATCAGAGGGAAGCAAAATGCAAGACATTTGATAAGAGATGGTATTTCAAAAAAGGTGTTCATGGCCACACTGTCAAAACTGCAGTAGCAGCCTCCTTTGCTAGCTGTCACAACTGCAGGAAGTGCTCTTTAGGTTCTCTGATGGATAGTGTTTCACATGGCCCCAGTTCTTGCTTTTCTGCAGATTCCTATGAGCTGAGAGGGCAACTTATGTCTTATAGGACATGAGTTATTAACTTAGTGGTGTGTTGTGGCAGACGGGAAAAAACATATGTTTTAAAGGGGAGGCAGTGATATCTGATGAAGATGCCCTTTACTGCCTCACTAGCATCTGTGTTGGGGGTTTGAGTGCCAGAGACCTACCAGAAAATCCCATGGGGCTATATCCTGGTAGAGCCGCAGCACTGCATTCAGTATTCTGGCCCAATTCCTGTGTACATCGAGGCCTGTTGTACTCATGAAATTTCAGTCTGCATTATTATTATTATCATTATTACTACTAGTATTACTATTATTAATATTATTATTTTTATTCTTAATTGGACGTGTAAATCAGAAGCAAAAGCCTTGTGGGGGCTGTGCTTTACACCAGTTATGTTGAAAAGTGCTGTTTATCCTCAAGAGGCTGCAGCCTACCTCTGCCCATATAGTACGCTGTGCTCCCTGGCCATGTCCTGATTGCAATTCAGGCAGAAAATGCTGATTTATAACCCTCAGGTAGCTACATTTCAGAGATGAAATTGCTTCTTTTTCACTACATAAACTCAAAAGTTCATAAGAAAAGCATAGCAATAATAACAAAAAGGCAGAGCTGTTCCCATATTCAATTACATGGCAGTTTTAAAGCTGCTGTCTTGGGTCCTATGGGACATAGCACTCTGGCCCAGTAAAGAATTATTTCTAGCCTCAGAGGGCATGGACATATGTGTGGACATACAAAGCTTTAATCTAATCAGTGATCCAAGAATATACTTCATCTCTTTCAGGCCCTAGGCTGGTTTTATAACTGAGGAAAAGAGGTAAATATTTTCTTTATTTTTGTTTTTCTTTCTTGCAGGCTCCTTAGAGTATACAGCAGCTCTTTGAAGATGGCTGGAGGTTCACAATGCTGGTAAAATTTTGTTGGTGGGGAAGTGGAGAGTGGGCAGGAGGAAGGTAAGGGGCCGTGTTCCTGTGGAGTGTTGCTTTCCATATGGCTAAAATGCTGGGTATCTGCACTTCAGCTCCACGGCAGATGCGCTACAGGTGATTAGAACACTCTGCACACACACATACGTGTGTGGATGCACAAATGGGCATGGAGCACAGAGAGACCATACCTTGGTAAACGTGCACACCTTAAGGATTTTTACAAGATGGAGTAATGATCAGCTGATAGAGGAATTACGCAGCTTGACTCTGAAACTAAAACTTTGAGCAGATTTGCCACAACAGCAGAAAGTATCTCTGCTTGCTTTGTAATCCCTTTCTCATTAAGAGTCTTCAGATTGGTTACAGATCTGGCTATAAAATTTGAGAATTGGGTTAGAAATCATAATTCACTTCACAGCAACTCTTCACAAAGATTTACTGTAATTGGAAAGAGATGGAAGTTGAGTGAGTGGAAGGTACACATCATGGTGACAGCCGCATTTAGAGTTATTGACTTGAAGCATTTCATGCAGTGTATGCTGTCAGGCACCCCATGACTCCTGATTTTCTAGGGATTTCTTTAATTTGATTTAATGGCCCATTGCCCCTTTGGAATATATGCTGACAATGCCCAAGGATATATTACATGCTCTCTGTTCTGCTGTATAGCTGGTTTGTTTGTTTTTTTTTTCCTTTTTAACATGTTGGGCAAAAGTCTTGAGTAAGTCCAGGTAGAACCTCAGCTCAGGCTAAAATATTGTGCCCTGAAGTTTCCTCAGAGGCGGTGTTCTATGCGAGAGTTTCCACAGTGGCCAACCGGTGGTTTGACTTTGCTTGGCAGTGACTATACAGAATAAAATAAAGGAAAAATATGGGGTTTGGAGTGGGTTAAGGAAGGAAAAATCTTGGTTAGAAGTGCCAGGGCTCAGAGCTGGAAAGGTTTTTTCTACAAACCAGAAAAGTTAAGCAAGGGCTGATTCCTTTGAGGTGCTCAGCACATTGGCCACGACCCAGTAAAACAATGTTAAGCGTGCTCTGGAGAGTGCCATAGGGAACAGCCGGAGCACTAAGTATCCAGCAGGATCAAGCTCCAAATAGGAAGCAGACAGAAACCAGATGGTATTATGTTAGCTTTCCCATACTAAGAAGCTCTTTGCTTTGCATTTTAATCCCTGTCTCTTATTTCCTCCTTTCTCACTTTGCCTTTTCTATAAAACAATCCGTATGTGCACTGAGATAGGGGTGCAATGTACTTAAAGTGCCCCTTATCACCTTTTCACACACAAGGAATTAAAGCAAGAGCTGAGAAAACTGCTGCTTATTTTTAACTTTAACTTATATAAGCTGTGCTTGGATGAGGATCATCAAAAATTTGGAACTGCTGAAGGAAGTAGAACACTGTCTCTGTACTCTAATGAGCTCCCCAGACATGTATGGCAACTGTGCCATTGCATTTGAGAGTGTTGGAGTCTATGTCAGAGGTTGTTCCAATGTCTTCTGGTTTCTTTTGGGATGGCAATGGGAGCAAGTAGGATGGCTGAGTAGGTACAATGGGAGACAGCTCCCTGCCTGTTCATAAACTGGATTCCAACTGAGCTGAAGTAAGACTACTGTAACGCAGAGTTCATATATCCACTTAGGTCACCTGACAGAAAGCAGCAGGAAGAAAATAGAACCCTAGTTGCTGCTCTGTTTTTTTAAACAAGCTCCTGGCTTTCCACTTTTTCCTTTCCAGCACAGTGACAACTATCTCCAGAACTTCCTCAGATCTGTGATTTGTGCAGACACCAGCTTTTACATGGATGTTTTTGAAACCGAGTGCTGCCTGGCTGGAAGCTGTCCTAGCTGGAGCCGCTTTCCTTCAGAGAGGACATGGTGAGACATAGTGGGGCATGTGCCTCTGCCTCTGAGCTACTGGCACTGGTGAATCTCAAGACAGAGACGTCTAGGCTCAAGTATGAGTCTTTGAGCCTGAATTACAGCAAAGCAGCCAGGTGCCAGGCAGGTTAGGGGAAGTTTAGATTGGACATAAGGAAGAAGTTCTTTACTGTGAGGGTGGTGAGGCGCTGGAACACGTTGCCCAAGGAAGTTGTGAATGCTCCATTCCTGGCGGTGTTTAAGGCCAGGTTGGACAGAGCCTTGGGTGACATGGTTTAGTGTGAGGTGTCCCTGCCCACGGCAGGGGGGTTGGAACTAGATGATCTTAAGGTCCTTTCCAATGCTAACTATTCTATGATTCTGTGATTTCTCCTGTGCAGGCTGCAGCTGTCACTTGTGCTGGAGCTGTGCATGCATGTGGGTCGTGCAGTGAGAATTACGAGGGAATTTCTGTGATTATTTTAGCATTCAAACAACTGGAAAAGAAGTTGACAGAAGCACCAGGCCTTGCTTTCATGACTGCATTAATCTTCTCCTGGCTATTGAAAAAAATTTTAGATTAACTTAGCACATATTCTCAAAGAGCTTTCTTTCTGGAAGTTATTTGTGCCGTGGATGCTGCGCCAATGAATAAAAATGTCAAAGAAATGGCTGATATAGATCAAGCTTCACTCAATAATCATTTTAGTGAGGATGCCTGAAGTTGTGGTCTTGTTTATGAAGTTGACAGTTGAATCCTGTGACCCAGAACTTCTGAGATACATGGATTTAAAAAAAAAAAGCTTTTTTCCTCTCCCAGAAGTTGGCAGTGGATGAAGAAGCACTAATGTATCACCTAATGAAATTTCTTTCTTAGGCATAAATATGGAGCTCTTTTTGTCGGGAGGAAGAGTTTCCGATACATACAATTTTAAGAACTAACATAATATTATTGCTACTGCTGGAAAAATTCCTGGTTGGCAACTGAGCTATACCAACAATCATGAGAATGTTTGGTCCACAGCATAATTCAGAGTTATTCTGTCATAAAAGTGATGAAAGGCTAGTTACTTTTTATTTGCCTCGTGCTAACAGGAGGTCCCTGCACAGTTACAAAGTTCACAGTATAAGCGGTGGTTTGTTAAGGCATCACAACTTGCTTGCGTTTCTGAGACCTAATAGACTAGGATGGAATCAAAGTAGTTTGGAGACAATGCCTACAGTCTTGGTGGGAATTTGACAGCTTTTACCAAACAAGGAACAAATTGAAACTAAACAATTTTATGTATGTGACCTGATTATTTCTCTAAAGTTTTCTCCAGAAAATGCTGACATAGGTGCACTTGTCATAGCTCCAGGAGATACATGACTCCTTGGGCAGCTATTTTGTTTGGTTTTCCTACACTTTCTGTCCAGATGTTGGCCATAGGCAGAGCTACGGTTCTGAAAACTGACAGGGAAAGCTTTCTGGCCTCACTGAGACAATGATCTGGGGTGGCAGATGGATCATAGAAACCCCCCAGACACATCCCACAGTTAAGCATAGGAGACACCTGAGTCTGTCCTTCCTGAGCAATTCGAAAGCACAATTAATTCCCCCAGGGGTCCATCTGTGACAGAAGTACAATTCAACAATTTGATATTGAACGTTTCTATATGAAACAGAGCATGAATAATAATGTGAGAACCAGACCCAGCAAACATTGTGCCCAATGAACATTAGACAAGCCCGGCAACTCAAAGACAGCACAGATTTGCTCTCATTATTTATCTTATCATAAGGGTTAAAAGCAGCCCATCAATCAAAAGGTTTTCAAAGTGCTTACAAATAGACTAAATTCTATGGTGCATGCAACAGAAGTGTATAAGTCAAGAATTTCCACTCAAGATGTTATCTGATTGGTTTCTTCATGAAAAATAAATTCATTTCCTTTTAATTAGGCAAACATTGGATAGTAGCATGAGGTCACAACTAACCAAGAAGCTACCCTCTTATCGTGATTTCCAGGGAAGCAGGACTTTCCTATTTACATATTGTATAGGATAATACTCAGAATTCAAATACAGTGTAATAAATAATTAGACCTTAGGCATTTCAATGGTTGCATCAAAGAAATGTAGAGACTTGACCTTTCAAAAAAGTTCTCTAATCATATCTGGTATGAACATGTATTTTCTTATGCTTTCTTTGTTGAAATACCTACTGACATCAGTGTGGTTCAGTTACTTGTTTAGACTTCTGAGTAACTATTTTGATTTCAACAATCAGTATTTTTCAACAATCAGTATTAAATATTCTAGTCACAATCTTCATTTTCCACATAATCTGATTACAGAACTTTTCAAAAGGTTTGATTTCAACAAGTGCATGATTAAATCAGCAATTTAAATAAAGCACCACATAAAAACTCAATGTTGAAGTTGAGAACAAGCTTCAGTTAAAGAATTTTGTATGATCTTTCATCTACTTTCAGCCTGGTTTTGATCTATCTTTCATTTTACTACTTAGTAATTAAGGACTGTATCTACTCAGCAAGACCTCTTCGAATGGTGTCAAACATTTCTCATTTTCAGAGACTGATTAGTCAAGTTTTTGTCAATAACAGAGCAAATGCAAAAAAAAAGCCATATCATCTACAATAGCAAAGGCATTCCTGTGAAATCATGGTTGTCATAGAAGTATATGTTAGGTTTGTTCTAGTTTTTACTTATGTACTTCCTATTTCCTTCACTAATTGCCACTTTATCCTTAAATTTTGAGTTTTCTCTTGAATATGTTTAGATTCTTTTAATGATTGTTAGGGTTCTGGCTTTAGTGACATCATAAATTTTGAAAATATGTGTAGGATGGCATAAATTTCCACCAAACTTATCTTAGGCACCTAAAAATGATATACTTCTTTTCATTTGAATTGATGCCTGTGGTCAGAAACAATTCAATAATTCATCCCTAGAAAGTAAATAGCTGCAAAGATGAAAATACCTTCCCCTTTCTCAAAGCAAAACTGAAAAAAACCAACTCATCGAAAGTCGTAATAATATCAAAAGCATACAGAATATCACAGACAGAGGAAAGAAAAACCTACAGCTTAATACTTACAGAATGTCTTAAAATCTAGACTTTCCTTTCCAGCTGCCGGCCAGAGGACAGCTGTGCATGAACTGGAGATGCAAACAGTACATCCTTGCTGCCTGTCCACCATTATTTGAAGTCTGTTAGTGAGCAAACTTCTTAGGAGTTACATAATGACAAAATAACATGAAGGAAAAACACATACATGATTTTGTGCCAGGTCTTTTGTTTTCTGCACAGCAATTCCCATGAAGGTTGTAATGTAGAATATTTTTTAGCTGTTAGCATTGCTCAATTTGATTTTTTATAATTGCTTGGATACCTGCATCATTGTATGTGATTTCAGCTAAACAAGCATAGAAATGAACAGGAATGCAGACACACAGCACTGTAAAAAAATACAGAAGGAAGTTTTTTCAAACAAAATCCATTTATTAGGCAGTGGTTCCAGTGATGCAATCAGAATAGGAAGGAAAGTCTGTGTTGCTTCATTGTTTTGTTTGGATTTTGGGGTCCAGTGCTAACTTGTGATAATATTTCCATTTGTAAGTATATTTCTCTGAGGGCAATCCAGAAAACTGACTATGAGGAATCTGATAGGAAAAATATCCCATTGAAATTGCTAAATTTTTCCATCATGAGCAACCGTTGCAGAATTGCCCCACTCAATTGTCTTTCCTGTGCAGTTCAGTAGCTTTTGGCTAAGCTTATTGTTTTTTTTTTTTTGCCAAAGTCCAATAAGTGCACAAAGCAGATTCAGTAGAAACGTAAATTCAGAGAAATTCAATAACTAAGTCATCCCTGTGAGGAATTTACGTTTTTAAATAAAAGAATGGAATGAATAGGATAAATGATTACAAAGTAACACTGCAACATATATCAAGGATATAGAGTTGCTTGCATCTACATGCCAAAGGACATACGGATCTTTAGAGGCAAGGCCAAAGCCTACTGCTACCAAGACGTTTTGGATCTGACCTTACATGTGGTGAGATGTCAACTACATTTGTAATCCAAAGATTCAACTCTCTATAACCTCCACAGTTCAACAGTTAAGCATGTCCTTGCTACAGACATGACTTATCTGATCGGCTCACCACGCCATGTAATTCTAAACAGGATTTTCCAGGTGGCATGTACAGAGCACTGCATTGTCTCTCTGGCTTTAGGTAGCATGGTTTAAATGTGAGAAAGGGCAATGGCTGCAGCAGATTTAACTAAAACAAACCTTGTCTCCCAACATAAAATACACAGCAGCAGTTTTGCAAAGTGAGCAAACTCTTTTTATCAGTGGTAAAATTCATACTGCAGATTAAGACACTTCCTCTTCTTCTGTAAGAATATGTCACTCCTCCTATCATACTTAAGTATGTGTTGTTCATTGTTTATCCCTGAGACCTACTCATTGCTTTGAAGTGATTTTCAGAAGATGCTAAAGTTGGTTTGATGTAACAACATATTAAGGCATTAATCATTTTACAGGTTGTCACAAATGATGGAAAAGTGGCATTAAGTTCCTAGCTAAATATAGAACACAGAAAAGCACAGACAAATACTTAATTATCTTCAACCATACCTGTTGCTTAAGTATATTGATGTCAGTGAATGTTGTAAGACCCTGTAAAGATGGCCAAAGCCATAAATACACATTTTCTGTAAAGATACCAGAAAAGCTCTTCCCACTATCTAGTATTTTCCTGGCTGTTTCTGGTACCTGATGCAAACTGATTTCCTTAATTTCAGAGATTAATCCAATACTACGATTAAATTTATTTATATTCTTCAAATATTGCCTATCAAATGTTACTGCTACTCATATGTCCAGTAAATTCATGGGATGTGACTCTTGGTGGGCTTTAGGGTAGCCTCACAGACACATATCATTTCAGCATTTGGTTCATTTCTATTGTTGCACAGCCTGAGGTTCCCTCTGGTTTGGA